GTTCGCGAATTATTGTATGAAGAAGCTTGTACCTAAGTCGGTTGGAAGTGTGCTCTTCGTGTGCTTTATCAACGTGATGTTTTTATACCGTTAGATAAGTTAGTTCAACGTTTGCTTCTCTTGAATAATTCCATTTCGACTCCGTGACCTTTTCTTCCTTTCCAATTTTTGGGGGATAGGATATTTATAGTGTTCATAGAAATATCACGAATGTGTTCATGAAAATTCGATAATTTTCACCGACTGATCCTGAACCAGGAACTTCACACGATCGAACAATTTCAATTACGATAATCAATCAGGGAAATTTCGCGACACCGATTGAATATAAATTTACAAATGGATATAGCAATCGCATAGTAATCGACGGAATTACCATCGGTAATGAACTACTCCTGCGGCATCGATGCCAGGCGATTCGTTTTATCAAAATCACCAGATGTAATATAATACGATCGTTGATTAATTCAATTACATCTCGTCAAAGTATTGCCGATCGTCCTATTTCGACTCTGCTTCCCGGTTCCTCCGCGCACAAAATATCGCTCGTATACTCGAGAGACACGGCATTTAAAAAAAAGAAAAACAAGAATGTACAATTTTTCCAATATTTTGAAACGAAGACTTATAAACTTCGACTATACACCAGCGTTTTTTGATACTTGTATGTATTTTTCGATTCGCACGAAGACACTTCCGACCGAATTCGATTGATGATTCATCGTCGCTTAACTCCACTTAAGTACACGTACATATACATATAATACGCGTATGCATTACGCGTGCACACACTCACATGCACACACACTCACACACGCGAGATTGTTTCCAACGAGTTGGCAATTTCTCTGGACAGTCGCGCGTCCTCGCGAGGCTCTCTCCTCGAAGTTCGTCGAAAGGGAGGAAGTGAAGTTAGCCACGAGACGATTCACCTGAAGCTTAGTCAATTCCCCGTGCAATCACGCCGGTTTTATCGTCGTGGATCGAGCGGGGAGCTCCGTCTTTCTCTGAGAACGCACAAAATCCCCTGAAAAACCGCAACCGTGTCTCCGTGCACGTACAAACTATCCGTACGAGCGACGTTTCCGTGAAGTTTACTGGTTGTTTCAAGAACAGAGGTGCAAAATGTGTTCAGAGAGATGATTGAGAGGATTTGAGTCGGTAAGGAAAATGATTTTCTGTTCGATTACGAATTGTACAGGCTGTCTCGGTTGTAACGAACGTTGAAATTATTTTCGCTGCTGTTGAAAGTAAGAAAAGTTGCAAGGCTAAAGGAGTTTGGGATGAAAGAAGTTGTTCTCAGGTTTATCCACATTTTTTCGCATATTGACCCTAGTATTCCTGGGGATTTCCCCGAAACTCAAGAGTCAAAGATTTGAAACTGGAACTATTTCCTTCGTGCACACAAATTCTCGAAAAATCATTTATCGTCGTGTACACCTTTAAGTTTGATATTCTTAACCCCTTAACCTATGATTTCTTTTCTGACTATGCATATAAACGTCAGCCATTTAACGTTTCAGTACTATATCAGGTAACGAAAGCTAATCTCTTACAGATTAATTACATTTAGGAATCCTTAATTTTAGAAATTACAACGAAAGTTAAGATTGCAATGAATTTTTCTTACTAATATAACTATTTTCGTCATATCTTGACCAGAATCTCTGTCACGAGTCTGACACGTTGTTGTAGGTTAAAGGGTTAAATCGTCGTTGCTATATGTGAAAACTACTATGCACAAGAAAAAGAAAACGAACTACATGATTAACATGCTTATTTCTTCCTCGTTTCAGTCATTTCGAGGTCGCGGTGCCGTAAGTAGCTGAACTCGTTTTGGTGCAGCTACAACGCGGCATTATAAAAGATTTTAACGTGCAAAAAAATGTCGATGATCTTGCAATGGACTTCAAGATGATCTTGGGAAGACTACCTTTTTCTTATCATCACTTCTCTCAGTCGTTTATTCTTACTTTCAACAACAGTTATTCAATGTCGTTATAAATTAAACACTCTGTATGCAGTGACGCTCGTAAGTATCTGACACAATGCTCTTTATTTCAACAAGTAACTTCGCTTAACCAGTTTCCAAGGAAGAAGGAGAAGGACTAACAACTAGTTCTGCAGCTCTTATTTCAAAATACGTAATTCTGTTCAAAAATTTATCACTTTTTTAAATAAAGAGAGAAACAGTAGATGGGCAAACACTTACGAGTGATAGTGTATGTAATAGAATGCACTTTTTGTAAGAAATACTCATTGAGAACAGTATGAAGGAAGAAATGCAAAAGGAGACAGAATTGCGTGTGAAATTAATTCAGGAGTCTTAGTAAATTATTATAGCGAGTGAAGTAATACTCGTTTGTAGCTATTGTTCCATCTATTCGAAGTTTAATATCCCTAAAAGTATCCCATGATACACTTATACGACTGAAAATTCTCTTCAAATGAAACTCATTAGCTCGTTTTGAAACACCCTGTAGAAATGAATGTTTCGAAGACGCGCTGACGCTAGTCAAGATGTGTTCTTATAGTATTGGGATTTCGGTCACTATTGACAGTTACGAAAAAATATTGACAGACGGGAGAAGAAAATGAGATTGTTTGAAGAATATTGCTGAATCTTCATGGCCGTAGAATTGCCGAAGAAATGGCAATTTTTGTTCGAAACTCGAGTGTTGGCATGTTGCTAATTGGAGGTGTTAGGGTGATGAGATTATTAGCAATCTCAGTGTGAGATTTCGGTGTGAATTTCTGGCCACCTGTTTTGGATTAACCGAGGCTGACCCCGAAAACGAGATTTCGGTATCGATTTATCGCCTCCACTTAAGCCAAACCTAACCGAGACCCAACACTCATGCCTCATCCATTAGCCCCTATTACATCGGAATGAAGTATGAATGAGTAATAACTCTGGGACATTGAACACAGGTAAACAGAATTTCGGTTTCAGTTTCTGATAATTTAATACGGTTTCTTCTTCAAATGAAGAAAGCGGCAACGAGAACTAATTGAACAGTTTAGCGGACAAATAACCGACAGGTAATTGTTTAATTCGCATTTCAGCTGGTTAATTGCTGTTTGCCTAACGTATCGAGGAATTGCGTTTCGTCTTTCAGTGGAATTCGATCGATCGAACGGAACGATAATTAAACAAAGCCTCGCTCATTTTCTGCAGAACGAATCGGTAGCCTAGCGCCGCTTTCACAGCCAAGTTTCAATTCGGTTCCTTTTTTATTTTGCAGATTAAACTGATACTTCTCTTTGCTTCTCATTATTCGTTAATTCTGCGTGATTAGCATTCTCAAATAAATCATTGTCCTTCGTTTCAATTGATCTATATTTCACGATCAGTATTGTCAAGCTTTTGCTCCATTCTTCTGCAAGCAGAAATTAATCGAAGTAGCTGAAGAATAGCTGTCTCGTTCGCTTCTTTAATAATAAATGTTTCAAAGATATCCAAACAAAGGAGTTTTCCAAGCAAAAATTCCGAAATAAATCTAACTTTCGGGAGATCACAAAATTTTGCTATTTCACCTCTGTTTAACCCTTTGGCTCTCTTATTAAAAAATTCATAATCGCCACATTTTTCAGATATTTAGATGAAACATTTTTTTCTATTGTTAACGGGTTACAGAATACAAAAGAACGTCGAAAAGGAAATCTAACTGCACATATTGATTTCAAACGGGGACATTCCCGTTTAACCCTTTCGCTGCGACAAATTTTAACCCTTTGCACTCGGAGGTCATTCTGCTGTTAGAAAGCTTGCAAATCGGATCTTTGAAATTTTTTCAAACTAACCTATAAATAAACTATACTATTTTGTTTAAATATTCCATGTATTCTCTATTTCACTATGG